ACTCTCGTTATCGTAAGTACCTTTTGTAACTGGAGTTACTCGTTATTGGAGTTATGGCTCCTGCACACAGGACGTGCTTGCCACGCGGCGGAAGTTGCGCGACAACCAATCAATATGTTGCTTTCCGTAATAACTTTCTAGCTCTTACAGAAAAACAACATATTGATTGGCTATCGCGCAGACTTCCGCCGCGCGGCAAGCATTACCGCGTCCTGTAAGCAGGAGTCTCAAGATTTATATGGGGTGTAAGAAACGAGAGGGATATTAGATCTCGAAGAACAAAATCAAATTTTGGACTCTTCGGAATTATTACAATTAATTAACGCGGCAGGAATGACAAGAAAAAAAAAATGAAAAACTTGTTTGAACTTACTTTCGGTAACCTTTATCAAAATGTGGGTTAAGGATGATCGATGGACTTAGTCAATTCGTGGGCGACGTTTCCTCAAAGTCCCTCCAATTTTGGCGCGTTGCACGTGTTGAAGAATGGATAAAGTGAGAGCGACTAACTACCGGCCTCGACGATGTGTAAGTAGTGACGAAGAGATGAAGAGTCCCTTGACGAAGTGGATTGAAGTACGTTGAAGAAGCGGAAGAGAGGACTGCGATGTCTGTCTGGTAGTAGTGCCGAAGAACAGAGCGAGCACAGCGCGGGGTCACGGTTTTATACGGGATCAGCTGGAGATGGTTTGGTAGGAAAAATATGAAATTTCGGGGATCCTAGGTGTTGGATTTGTTAAAGGAGGAAGGTATGGGGTAATGTTGCAGCCAGTAATAAATGAGTATATAGAGTTCAGGAGATCTCTTTGGCTGGGGTTGTGGATGGAGAAAATCGTACGTTTAAGAAAGACGGTAATTGGAGGATTTTACGGTGATGAGGGAATCTTTGGATAGAGCAGAAGACGGACCAATCAGAACAGAGTATTTCCATCCAGCAAGAAATCCAGCATGAAAACAAGCATCGGGTGCCGCTTGGCTTCAGACGGAACGAACGTAAAACAAGTTGAGCTAATCACGAGCGTTCCCCTCATTCCGCATTGCGCATACGTTCCGTCCCATGTAAACGCACCATACTCTCGCAGCGATACGCAATGCAATACGCGACACTTAATATCCAATGATCACGATGCTATTCCAGAAAAGCTGTACGTTCATTGAATGTCAAGTGTCGCATCGCGCTGGCTGTGAGGACCAAAAAATTTTGAACGGTGCATAAATCTCAAGTTCTCTTTGAGTATTTTTCTTTCTTATTGAAATAAAAGTTAAGCCATGAAATTGTTACGTCCTGCACGGGCGTGAGCCATACAATTTATCTAAAGCTGGCTTAATATCCGCGTATCACATGGGTTGCGTTCTTTTATTTGCAACAGATATAGCTGAATGCATCTCAAGGATACATCAAGATTGATTTCATCGACGCAATCTAACCTCCAATATAAACCTTAAAGTGAAATAGTGTTTCAAAATGACTTCCAACGAGAGTAACAAAACTAGAGTAACTCTGCAAGATGTTACAAATAAGAAAATGTATGCACTTATTGTTACATCAAATGAGGCAAAACATGTAGAAACAGATAAGTTTAGGACACCTCTCATAAAAATTTATTATTTTTGTTATTAAATCATATTTATTTTGAGTAATAAAGCACTGTCCAACAGTAATTTAAAAAAAAATAAGTAATATTTCAGCAACATTAGTAATACATTTGATGAAGGAAACGGACTTTCTCACAAATTTACCTAAATCTTAATATTTTGTTGTATAAAACATGAATATTATATGAAACTTAAAATCGTTGATCTTAAATAAAACAAAAGTTATAAAGTGAAAAGTTATTAAAATGTGACTTAAATACTTCATCATTGTATAATGGTACAATTACTTCCACATAGTTTTTTAACCAAAGTATTGCTTTTTTTTTATTAATTCAATCATTACGGATAAATACTTTTCTAATTCTTCTGTATATAAGTTATTTGTTTCGTTATCATCAAAAACATCTAATGAAACTAATATTTGAGCAAATACACAAACAATTTCCTTATCTTTATCCTCCATTTTTACGTTCACAATTGCTTACAACAGCCAAAGGAAACGGTTTTGATCTTTTCGATGAGTGCGCTTAGAAATTAAAGTAACCGGGCAAAAATAGCGTTCAGAAGCGTAAGCGCTTTAAATATGTGAGCGTCCAAAACGAACGCACCCAGTATTGCCTTTATAAGAATTGTGAGAGAGAAAGAGGCAGTCTAATAATCCAAATAATAAAAAGGAGATGTCACGTTCCGAAGTTGCTTGGTTATCGATATTATCGCTGGCATTGTTACCTCTTTACCGCGATACCGATTGGTTGTGGCCGGCTTCGTGGCGCGCCAGGCTGTCATCGTGGCGGAGTTGAGTGACAATTCGTGCGTATTACGAGAACGGGGTTATAACGAGGGAGAATGAGAATAAGAGAGAATAGTAGAGAATGAGAGAGAGTAAAGGAGAATTAGAGAAAATAAGAAAGAATGGGAGAGAATAAAGGAGCATGAAAACATTTAGCTGTATTAAAATTTGTTTAATAATTATGTACATGAGACTATATATATTATGTCTATGGTCTCTTCCTACTTGTTGGCTTCACTTTTCTGGCTGTTTGCGGGATCCAGGTATACTATATCCATGGTTGTATTCAAATATGAATGCAAATTATAGGTTTGTGTGTGAGAGATAGGGAAAGATAGGGTGAGACGGGTTGAGACGGGGAGAGATGGGAAGAAACAGGCAAAGACGGGGAAAGACAGGGAGAGATAAGAAGTGACAAGGAGAGACAGAAAGAGACAGGGAGAAACTGGAAGAGACGGAGAGAGACAGGGAAAGACAGAGAGAGACAGGGAAAGACGGGGATAGACGAGGTGAGACGGAGAGAGATGGGGAGAGACAGGAGAAAACAGGGAAAGGCAGGGAAAGACAGGGAGAGACAGAGAGAGATCGGGAGAGACAGGTGAGGCAGGGAGAGACAGGGAGAGACAGAGAGAGACTGGGAGAGACAATGCAGATTATAGGTGTATGTGAATAAGGTTTGTGTTTTTTGCTATATAATTAAAGTGCAATAAAGTACTAAGAAAGGAGATTGAAGGCGCGCGTGTAGCGCGCGCTGTGTGCTAGTCCTATCAGAAAAAGTGCATGTTAACTACCCTACTGAAAAATTTCTATTGAGATCACAATTGAATTCCCAATTGAAT